TCTGTTACAACACCGAAATAACAAACTCACAAACCATTGGCTGAAATCACTTATCCTCTAAATAAATAAATAATGATTACTAAAGTAATTAGCGAGATTAATTGGAACATTGATTATATTTTTGTGTTAGTCATGAGTTTTTAGGAACCCTGTAATTAACAAAGTAGCGAATGCCCAAGCACTGTGGTGTATATATTATTTAGATATTTTTTTATTAGAAAGCCGATGTATATGGCGGACCTCATTGGTAATTCTAGTGTTCAATGTCTGAAAAATAATGATAAACCCATTCATTGAATCAACAAAACGTATATGCCTAGTTATAAAATTCTGAGTTTTTTATATATATCGTCATGTAATATGTGCACATGATTAAGGAAAACTTGGTATTTGCTCAATGTTAATCAGTCCAATGTTAGGTGACCTCAGAAATTTTCTTCATTATTTCCCGTTCTTTTTTTTTTTTCGTCCCTGATTCAGTAAATATGGTATTTGTGTGGGTTGGCTAGAATTACTGCCGTGGTCTCTCTGGAGTTCACTGTTTTTTATAAACATGTTTTTCTAAATTATTCATGTTATTCAAGTTACTCGTGGTTACATGAATTTGTTATGTACACCGTTAAAGGGTCTCTAATAATATACGAGTCACACATACAATTCTTTACACTGAGTGTTGTAACAAGTGAAAACATAGAATTATTCAAAATGATGCAACATGTAGACTCTCACCGGTAATGAACGGTATAAAAAGAAGTCAGTAACTTGAGGGTTAAAGTCAAAATGATGCAACATGTAGACCCCACCGGAATAAACAGTATAAAAAGAAGTCAGTAACTTGAGGGTTAAAGTCAAAATGATGCAACATGTAAACCCCACCGGAATAAACAGTATAAAAAGAAGTCGGTAACTTGAGGGTTAAATTCAAAATAATGAAAGATGTAGACCTCACCGGTAATGAACGGTATAAAAAAAAGTCAATAACTTGAGAGTTAAAGTCAAAATGATGCAACATGTAGACCCCACCGGAATAAACAGTATAAAAAGAAGTCGGTAACTTGAGGGTTAAATTCAAAATAATGAAAGATGTCGACCCCACCGGAATGAACGATATAAAAAGAAGTCGGTAACTTGAGGGTTAAACAAGATTTTACTAATGTTTTAATTGGAGATATAACTATCTCTCATTTTAAGGATATCAGTGCCGTTCACTGGCTTAACAAAATAAACAGTAATTTTGACTCACTCCCACATTTCAGTGTTTCGTTTCATAGGTAAATTCCCATTTGCTCCATAATCAAATCTTGAGTCTACATAGATATATATATAAAGAAAAAAATGCCAAAATAGGTCCATCGCAGAAAACGTTAGTATAAGCTATGTTATGATCAGTAAGTATATACGAGAACAGCAGCCAGAGTATGTTTGTAAAGTTACTTTTTTACTCGCAGTTTTTATGGCATTTTTATTCGATATATTGTAAGCCTTAACCCATAATTATATTAAAATACACCTTATTTCTTTGAGTTATACATAAACCCCTAATTTTTTGCTGCGTTTCATTTTTTTTTTTTGTTTTGGCTCCCCTATTTTCGCAGTTTGAAAAAATCCAATGAACTCTATTAAGTACTATGTTGTTTCCCTTTTGAATGCTTCCTGCCTGTCCTTCCACTTGAATGTGTTTTGAGAGTTCTGCGATGATGACTAAAGTTGACATACGTCACTAAGTCCAAAGCTCCCTCCGCTCCCTTCGTTTGGAGCCGATACATAAGAAAGGTCAGCTGGAGGATAAGAATTGTTATGTCATTAAGATTTGCAGTTCTATGTGAAGCTCGCGGTTTGGTAAAACCTTATTGACGCCCTGTAGGTAGTCAGTTTGTTTGTCTTCTAAAGCGAACTGATTGAATTCACTTGTTATTTTAAAATGTTAATTAAAAGTAACATCTTTGTAGTTTAGTGTCATATCTAAGATAAGGTTTCGTAAGGAATTCAACTCAACCTATGGAAGTTAAGTTAAATTTAATAAACATTTCAGATTTTTTGTATGTTAAATGTATTTAAAGCATAAGTATTAATTTTTTTGCACGTCGTAGTAAAAAAATAAATGGCTGCCCAATAGCCCCAAGGTGTCTTGCTTGCATAATCAGAACAAGGGACGAGAGTGAACTTATCCTGATCAATTTAAACACATTGAATGAAATTAATTTTGAAGTTGGGACCGAGGTCGAAAATTTGGTTAAATTAAGTTTCTCCGTAAAGCCCCCAAGTGACACTTACAACGCTTGAAACCGGGTTTTGATACCCGTGGTGGGAAGAGCACAGATAGCCCATTGTGTAGCTGTGTGTTTATACTAGACACCAACAAACAAAATTCTCAATTATTTAACATATTGGAAAACTTATCAATATGTCAGGTCAGTGTATTTGTGGTAGCTTTTAAATAGTTTTTATTCGGATATAAAGGGGGCGTTCTAGTAACAAAGGTGTTAAAATTGAGAACATTTTATTCCTTTTCTTTCAAATGTCGACCATAACTGTAGATATCTGATTTTAACGTTACAAATCCTCAGTTTTACCTCTGAGCCACCAGGGCCCCTAATTATAAAGTTGCCCGGCATGGCCAGGTGGTTAGGGCGCTCGACTCGCAATCTGCAGGTCGCGGGTTCGAATCCCCGTCACACCAAACATGCTCGCCCTTTCAGTCGTGGGGGCATTATAATGTGACGGTCAATCCCACTATTCGTTGGTAAAAAAGTAGCCCAAGAGTTGGCGGTGGGTGATGATGACTAGCTACGTTCCCTCTAGTTTTTCACTGCTAAATTAGGGACGGCTAGCGCAGATAGCCCTCGTGTAGCTTTGCGCGAAATTCAAAACAAACAAACAATTATAAAGTTAAACTTTTTTGTTTATCAATCTTTAATATCTTAATTTAAGAGTGGTCGTATACCTATACAAAGTGGCTTGGGATGGTTAGAATTGTATATACACGATGGTTATAGTATGTAAATAAAGAACTAGAGCCTTCATCTGATTATAAAAATTTGGTGTTCGCTCAATTCACTCTCTTGGGTTTAATTTTTGAGTCTTCCTCTTGGTTTTTCATTCATCTTGGCTTTCTTACATTCGTCCAAGACTCTTCACCCTAGCAGCTAGTTCGAGTAATAAAAAACAGAAGCTGGCCAGTGAAGAAATATTTTATTTGCTTACTCGTGTTTACTTATTTCCTCTTTTTCTCGATCTTCAATTGATACTTTTGGCTACACGTTAGATATCAGTGTACCTGAATACTACAATCGAAGGAAGTAGTATACTTATGTCCAGTCAGTGTATTTGTGGTAGCTTTTAAATAGTTTTTATTCGGATATAAAGGGGGCGTTTCCATTTTTTTATATAGTCATTTATGATAGTTTTTTTCGCATATAAAAGATAAATTAGGTAAATTTCTTTTATATCTTCATACACCGAATGGGCAAGTCTTACATACATATACAGCAAAGGAAATACTTTTGTTTGCGAACTGTGAGAAAAATAATATAAACAAAGATTATCTTTGTTTATGACACTTAGGTTCACAAGCTAATAATTCTTACGTTTTACTAGGAACTCAACTAATTGACTTATGGAAGCCACTGATAATTTCGTTTCAAACAGCTTATCCCTTAAACTTATAAAGGTTTCCAGGAATGAAAGAATGCACAGAATTGGACTTTAAAAAGTTCAGAAACATTCTGAAAGGATAAACATCAGTCTAAATCCTGGTTCCCCATCTCTAGTTGGCTGCCTTGCGCAACCAGTCTCTCGCGCCCCCTCTTTTGTTAAATCCTGGATCCGCCCCTGTTATCCTTGAATACCTTAAAATATAATGATCTTCATTCTTTATACGTTAATAAAAGTCAACTTTTACCCTCGTCTACGCTTTAACGACAAAATGATTTGATTTCTGTTTAGATTTTGATTTAACTTGTGATTCAGACAGTAGTATTGATAACACTCGTTTTTTAAAAAATGAGAAATTCGTTACGATATAGAAAAAAAAAACTACTACTAAATATTTGACTTAGTATATTATGAATATCTCTTGAAGAATTTAGATATCCCAAGAGATTTTAATATAAGCTTGTATGGCGGGAACCCGAAGTGACACTAACAGAAACTGTAGTCTCAGTCAGTAGCTATACGAATACTTTGACGCTGACGTCAGAGTTTATTGTTTCGTCACATAATGAGGTTGTTAATTTGCGTCGGTGAATGTTGTTGTTCTTATGAATGTTTATAAGGTTTAGACACATGTTAGATTTTATCAGCATAAAAAAATATGATAAAAATGTTGATGACGTAAGATAAATGGTATTGTTTCAGTGGAAAGCATATTTTTGATCGTATCGGCATTTTAGGTTATTTTGTGTGACATTTAATGGAAAAATACAAATATGAAGGCTGTAGACTGCTGGAAATCCTATATGAAGGCTTATGTTTATGCAGCTTTAATAGTACTGTTTTACATGATACGTGAAATGTTTATTCTTATCTGTTTTAGTTTGAGTTAAAAAAGGTATGTTTTTGTTAAGTTTGTTTGTTTGAAGTTAAGCACAAAACTACACAATGGGCTATCTATGCTCTGCCTACCACGGATATCGAAACCCGGTTTCTAGCGTTATAAGTCCGCAGACATACCGCTGTTGCCAATGGGGGCTTTTTGTTAAGTGCAAACCTACATAATGGGCTATCTGTGTTGTGCCCACAACGAGTATCGACAGCCGATTTTTAACGTCATGAGTTCAGAGCCTTACCGTTCAACCACTGGGAGGGCGAGCTCAAAAGGGGAAACCTTGGATATATTTTTTTTAACTTTGAGCAAACGAAGAAAACGATGACAGAAACAAGAGAAACATCGTTTATCGCTTTAATACAAATAAGATGTGTATTATTATATTGTTATGAACAAATAAGGTACACTTAACTGTTTTAAGAATGTCGTTTTGTTTTTCCTTTATTGCCTGCAGGTGATACTTGCATGGGATCCGGAGACGGAACTGGTGAGGAAGAGGATGATGAGCGAGAAAAGAAAAGACAAAAGAAAAGAGGAATATTCCCCAAAGTCGCCACCAACATAATGAGGGCGTGGTTGTTCCAACATCTCTCTGTAAGTTCTGTGTTGGATAAAGTTCATATGCTCATGATATACTGACCAAAGTAATGAAAAAACAAAATTTATCATTTACTTCTAACGTTTTTAACTCTAGTTTTGAGTACTTATTTGGGAAGTTGGGTTAGGTGGGATTCTTTACTTCGGTTTGATTTGGGAATAGAAGACAGGTGGACAAAACTGTACTCTGTATGGTTGGAAGTAAAATAAATGCAAATAAAACTGTCCAATTGGAAGAGAAGAAAAACGGATAAAATAGACTCCTGTACAACATTAATTCAACTCAGGAAGCTCCAAGCATTTTACACCTGAAGAATCCAGACAGGAATCTTCCTTAGGAACTTCCAACTCTGCACTGTTAAAAAACTTTGCATAACTTGTGCTCTGTAAAACAAAAGTCACGTATTTGAATAACTAGATCACAAGTTTAAGTTTAAAAAACCAGGGATTTTCCTAGTATGCAGTTGATCACAAATTGTGCACCTATGAAAATATTTGTGCAGTTGAAAATTCACCTACACAAGTAAGTTCAAGTGGATAAATATTTAAAACCATATTTAAGATTATAAAATTCCATTCCAGAGTTGATAAATAAATGTATTTACTAGAATATTCTTCACTTTTTGGACCATTTGTTGCTAGGCCTGAATATATGAGGTGCAATAAGGCGTTATGTATTAAAAACTGATTAAGTTAAAATATAATTGCGCAGTTGAAAAAACACCCTTAGAAAAAGCTCTGTTAAAAACGACACAGTCATTGTGCACTGACAAATCAGAACAAAAATGTGTTAGTTGATGCACAGTCTTTGTGTTGAGCCGCGTATCTTACATTATGTAAGTTGCTATCTATCTTTATATTATGTTCAGCTTAACAATATGATAGCCCACTTCAAAAGAACCTCGAGTAAACTGAGGTGTGTACATTTGTACAGCCCCTGGCGGTATAAACGAGATTTTTTTCCCCCTAGCAGAAATAAGGATATTAAATATAATAATTAATTCCGGAAGTTGTAAATGATGCCCCTATCCCCTGCACATAACCGGATACAAAGAGGGTTGTTATTGACCAAATTCCGGTAATGAAAAGACGTTAAAGACGCATGTTAACTTATAGAACTTATCTACACACACAATACCGGTGAAGTATAGACCAATTTTCGAACTTTGTGTAACGTTAAAAAATTGGGCTGAAAGAAATTAAATTCATATTGAAGGATCAGCTGCGAAATACACACTTTTAAATGCTATCACATGTGTGTGTGTTTTTTTGTTGAATAATAATATGGTCTTAATGGAAGAACATACAACTTTTTGTTTTGATTTTAACCTAACTTCACGTAATACAACTTATGCGAAAAATTACATCAAAAGCTAAACCTGTGTATAAAAGCCAAATGATTCTTCGTCCTTTGGCATATAGTTGACATTTTGGGCCTGAATATTAGAGAAACAAAGTTAGGTAACCGGCTGTTGATGATTTGTTTTGTTTTTTATGGGATTTTGCGCAAAGCTCTTCGAGGACTATTAACGCTAGTCGTCCATAATTTTGAAGTGATAGACTAGAGGGAAGGTATCTAGTCAACACCGCCCACTGCCAACTCTTGAGCTACTCTTCATCAATGGGATTGACCTTAACATAATAACGCCCCTACGGTTGAAAGGGCGAGCGTGTTTAGGGACAGGATTCGAACCCGCGACTCTCACATTACCCTAACCACCAGGCCAGGAGTTGAAGAAACCCTTATTTTTAAGTGTTATAAACCGTTAATATTCATTCAGTTTCTAGAAAATTAATATGGATTTTCACGAGTAATATTCAAGGGCGTTTCAAAATACTAACATTTCAGATTTCGACCAATTGTTGGATTATATTGATGATATCTGCGTATACGTACATATCTTCTTAGCCTGCACGTAATTACGGTTTGGTTTTAAAACGGGATCATAATTATCGTGAGAAACCAAAAGCGAGCATTTAATTTTAAGTCCCCCCCCCCCATATCGTTAAAAAAATTGGGTGTTGTGTGTGTTCTTACCGAGCTAGTTATATGTATTACTATATTAAACGTGGTAATCCTCTCCATCACCGTCACGAGAACAGAATAATACGGGAGAAGGTGCGTGCGTTTGTGTCTGTCACTTCCAGGCCAGCCCAGCTGTTGGTCCACCAGCGGTGCGGTAAGGATTATTCCAGGTGGACGACCAGACAGTATAGCACAATGAGGCTTAACTGCAAGCGAACAATGGAAGACACAGTTTCTCAGTGGCTGGATTAATAGCGTAGTCTCGGCTCACGGTTTTTACCGCTTACTTCTTTAATACAGGAACAGTAGAGGTTCATTATCGTCCGTTACACAGTTCTTTTGTGCTAGCTAACTCCTCATCCTTGTGGATAAATCCCGAGACAAAACTAAAACTTCTTGATCAACTGAATATTACAGAAATGTTTGCTTTATTCTAAAAAACATAAACAACAAAACAAAAAAAACAATTACAAAATCTCCAATCGTTCTAAAATTAGTCATAAGTTTAAATACACCTTTGTCAAGGGAAACGTTAACTTAGTAAATTACGTTTATTAATTATTTTTTTTTACTTTTTAAGTGTAAGTTGTGCTATATATATATATATATGTAGAGGTCGCTATTAGTAAATACGTAGGATATTCTCGAAATAGAATCGTTCGTTAGTAAGTCAGAGAAGAGTAAGTGATTGGCTCGATTTCTTTCCTGTTAGCCGCCTTATGATGTGTTTGCCACTTGGAGGAGATACCTTCTACTGGCAAAGGACTGAAAAACTGAAATTAAACTAAGAGCTGGATAGAAGAATCTAAAGCGCCTAGATTTTGAAATTAATTTCTTAATCAAGTATATGTACAAACATATTTATAATAAACCAGATAAAAGAAAGTGTTTGCAATCTGTTAGAGAAAAAGAAACAAGTGAATTGAAGGAGATCTCGTCTAGAATGTCTATGGATTTTTATTTATTTTTTTGTTTGTTTGCCAAACATGTTTTAAGTTTATCAAATTTCAAAACTTTTTTCCAGGATGCTTCAGCAGGAACACACTGACTGGGGATAAAGTAGACCTTAACATTTTGGGTAGTTTATTTGCTCAATTAGGATAGGTGTTCTGAACTGTTTAATAACATAGGCACTGAATGACTTAACAGCAATTTTTGAAGTTTGTTTAAAACTCGGAAGTAAGTTTTAAACACAGGCACTAAGTTGAGAAACGTCGTAATAGATTTGTTACTGTAGTTTTTGAGACTCAGAAAACGTAGGTACTGATTGAATTGTCAGTTCTTAATAGCTAAGTTCTTGTATAGCTTTTGAGGCTCGAAAGTAAAGATTAATCAGTTCGACAACGTAGGTGCTGATTGAATTATCAGTTCTTAATAGAAAAAATCTTGTTTAGCTTTTGAAACTTGAAAGTAAGTTTGAAATTGTTCGACAACGTAGGTGCTGATTGAATTATCAGTTCTTAATAGATAAGTTTATAGCTTTTGAAACTTGAACATAAAGTTTAACCTGTTCGACAACGTAGGTACTGTTTGAGTTAAAGGTTCTTATTATATAAGTTCTTGTAGATTTGAGTCTTGGAAGTAAGTTTAAAACTGTTCGATAATATAGATACTGGTTGAGTTTCAACCATTCTTAACAGATAAGTTCTTGTAGTTTCCTGAGATTCGTAAGTAAGTAAGTTTTAAACTGCTCTACAACGTGTAAGTACGTGTTGTGTTCAGACAGGTCATGATACGTGAAATCGTGTAGTTAGAGACTCAGAAATATAATGAAAACACGAAACTAGATCGAAGAAACGTTTAGGAACATCAGTGTGAACGTTTCTTTACAGGTCAAGTTTGCATTATCTGTTTTGAATTATAAACATGAGAATCACATTCAGTTCTTAAACGAAGTGGCCTCCAATTAGTATTTGTAGCGTCTGTAACAGAAATGCATTCGGTAACAAGCTATTATGAATAACCACAAAGGGTATATGTTTACAATAGAAATACAAAATCAAACCAAAAAAAAATAATTGGAAATTAGAACTGCAGGTCCTAAAACCGATTTTAAA